ACAAGCAAAATAAAAAAAAAAAAACTCTTGTATCCCGTGCTGGAGTCTACTACTTATAAAAATTTTAAAAACTCGTACCCAGGTCTAACGAATGAACGCACGAGTAAGTGGTATATTTATAATGTAAAAGGACTTACCTATAAAATTGTGAAACATCTGCTCCTGCTGCAAAAAAAAAAAAAAAAAATGAAAAAATAAAAACATTAAATAAAACTGTTTGCCGTTTATTATTGTATGAATATTTACTCTCCTATCAGGATATATGATCAACAATCTATCAACCCCCGAATTGTTGCTAGAGTATAAAAATTCGTAAACTTATAGTTATTCTGTGTATATATGTAGTATAATAAAAGTATCCTTTGGCTTAAGGTCATGATTAGATATGACATTAATTCCAATATGTTTGTTGGTATGTGTGTACTATATCAAATAGTAGGTTTTGTAATGGAATTAGAAAAATCGGTTAAATTTTTTATGATTTGATATACTTATTAAAAATAGTAATTGATTTCAGTACAAGAGCAACAAATGATGCAGCCTTGAAAGTTCCAGTAATAAGTTATGATTAATTCGAACAAATATTTTATACCAAAAATCGAGAATAAGTTACACCTATTTTTTATAAAGTAAGAATACCATACAACTTACAGTATATTTAAAATAATTTGGAAACTGGTCCTTTAAGGTTCTATGAATTTTTATGAAGTCCTCAGGAAACGATAAAACTATTTACGTAGAATTATAATTTACCCTACACCACTGTAGTGGCTATTATGGTTTTATACTGGTATTCGTTAAGCAATGAAATTTGGCTTCTACACCAATTTTAAAGTATTCCAAATCTGATCATAATAAAATCGGTCCATTATTGCCCCTAGCCCCTATACAATCGGAGCCCCTGGAGCTCCATCATGTATACCTATTTATCCCATATATAATTTTCTGAAAGGTGTTTTATATGGTCAAATATGGACCGACAACATTTGAAAAATGTCGAAACCCAGAGAATCCTGATGATCCTCTGATTTTCTCCCACACGTCTAGAATTTGAGATATCGTGTCCTAAAACTTGAAAAATAAAGACTTAACATCTGACATACATACATATTTTCTTTATTATTCGTGATATCTTCACCTAAATCTTAAAAACTCATGGTTTGGAGTATTAAGCTTTGTAAATATTGTTTATAACGAACAAAAATATTGGATGGACACATAACTAAGGATGTTCAAATCGGCTCCAAATTGCTTTCTGATTCGACTCAACGATATCTGTCCGTTGAGTCAAGAAAAATACAGTTTTTGTCAATTTATTATTATATGTATCATGTTTTAGGTGAAAATAACTCGAAGAAGAGTGACGATATGTCAGATGTTAAGCATTTATTTTAAAGTTGATAAAATTGACTTTCAGATGACATACAGTCACATACATTTGTCTTGGCGCTGTTATAACGTTTTAAAAATATACAAAAATTGCATTTTTTCAAACTACAGGACACGATATCCCAGAAGTAATGAAGAAATTTTGAGGCCAGATTCGGATTCAGCGTGGCTCAATCCTATAAAGCATACTTTTGTTACAGGGTTAAAAATTTGTCGATCGTGTTAACACAGTTTACGAGGGCGGATATCATCTTATAAGCAATAGATTTAACCGATTTAATAACAATAAACTTATTTTTTTATAGAGGTCTACTAACGTACAAAAGAGTTTGTAATTAGGTAGTAGGAAAATCAGTTATTGATTACAAATCTCCTACAATCGACATTGCAGATGATTCTTTATAGAGTCTATTCCATAGACGGAAGGCGAGACTTAAAGCTATAGTTTCATTATAATGATACCAATTAACTCTCTATTATGATATCATAAGTTTTTGAGGGATGGACCCGTTACAGTTGCTGAAAGTGTTGAGAAAGTAGAGTATAGATATAAACTGTACAACAAATGAACGTGCTAGATCTTTTAGAAGATCGATTACATGAAAATAGATCTTCACAGCCACAATTGCCGTATTTAAGTTAAATATTTTGCTCTTTATAACCCAAAAACTGTTGTCGGGATTTATAGGATAGACAAATAGCAATGTAATGCCAAATAAAACTCCTTCATCTTTCAAAAATGTCATCTACGAAATCTAACAAGATCGCTAAACAATTGCAACTATAACACTGTTGCCTAGACTTATCTCTGTATAGGCCAGTTTGACTGGGGGCTTCAAAAAGCTATTGTCGAAAGAAAGAAACAAGATAGATAATTTTTATCATAATTTCCATTTCTTTTAATTTTCTAAAATTTATTGGCACAAAACTTAATGCTTAAAATGTTAGATATAATCGGAGTCGAATCAGAGTATGTTGTCGACTGAATAATTCAACAGCTTAGGTTTAAAACCATATAAGACAAGATTTCGAAGTACTTTATTTTAACAACTGCCGAGTTGGTCTTATTTCACGGTGATACTTTTCCAACCACTGGGTAAGCTGACTAGACGATACACCACCGCTTCTTTGTGCTTCTTACACAGAGGGAAAAGAAATATACACGCCTGGTACCAAATTGACACCAAACTGATGTACGGTAAAGTCTATAATTCAGTATAAGTTCGGATGTTGTTCTCTATGAGTATGTCGAATGAATGAGAAGGGTGCAGGGTTGAATTTTGATGGAAGAAAGGTATTTTATACAAGTGATATCATTGAATTTTACTTCTTGTCCTCTGTTTATACCAGATTTGCCACAGTTTGTTTTCTGTAAGTACACAGAGGGAAAAGGAAATATACACGTCTGGTACCAAATTGACACCAAATAGTTTATAATTTTTCAATACCATCCGTTGTCAAAGTATATACATACGTACGACAACACTATGTAATGTTGACAACATTGCAACAATTCGTTGTCTAAATCCAAATTTTATACGCATCCGTTATCTAAATGTTAACAACGTTGCGTTGTCAACATTATATAGTGTTGTCGTACGTATGTATATACTTTGACAACGGATGTTATTGAAAATTATAAACTCTTTGGTGTCAATTTGGTACCAGGTGTGTATATACCGAATTATAGACTTTACAGTACATCAGTCTTCTAACCGACATTCTCCCGGGAATTTGGGTTTGAACCATAGTCACTACGTACTCCCTGAAGGGACGTCTTTAATATCCGGGACAAGACAAAATCCGAAATTCTCTCATGTGAGTTACCGGTTCCCTTGGTACCAAATTGTGTGATCCACTCTTTCGACCCCTCAAATTATTCCAAGGAAAGGTCGAAGATACATTTGATCATCACCAGTTTATTGTCCCGGCAGACTAGAGGTACAGGTAGCACCTCCTTTCCCCGTGATTGCAATAACACCAAGATGGGGTCTTTTATCAAGGTAACATGTAACTGGGTGGATATAAATAAGACAAGATAACTATTTTACAAATTCAATTTACGGTAGAGTCCAGAAGAATTAGTGTCTGTTTTATTGTTCTGAGGTGAGCAAAACTTTAGCTAGATGAGGTTTATTTTTCTCTAGTTCATCGATTAATTAAAAGTTTTGGAAAATGTACAACAAAATACATAAACAATTTTACTAATTTTTAATACCAGTTTTATAAAACAAAATTTCAAATATCTAAAACTTTATTTGACTATAAAACAAGCAAATAAATGTATACCTTAACAAACGCCGTGTCTAAATTATCCTGTTGCTGTATAATACTAACAGAAAACCATTAAACATAGAATTAATTATACGAATAAAGTGTGCTATGAGAGCACGCGTTAACTATGGCACTTTCCACCTTTTTTCCATAAAGATGAACTGTCTGTCGCTGGCACAGCAAGGCATCATTAATTTTAATAGAACGCCAACTAAAAATTAAATGAACTAGTTACAGACCAAACAACTAAGCGATCAATGACCGATCAAGCGACCAACCGACTATCTATGAATTATAACAGCAGCAGCAACGGCCATAACAACAAAACCGCTATAATATTATTTGTGTATCGTCTGCTTTGTTATTCCTTGATAATTTTACTTTTGGATCCTTCTGAAATAAGTATGCAAGTGTTGAATTCTTTTACATGTAAGTGCAGGTGCTTTTAAGGACTGGTTTTCTTCTTGGTTTTACAATAAATTTTTAATATTTACGATGTCACAATATATTAATTATTTTAACTTGACTGTAAGTAAAGTAGGACTAGTGGTAGCAGTAGTGATAGTTGGTAGTTAGTTGTCTGTCTGTCCGTCCGTCCGTCCGTCCGTCCCTCTGTCTGTCCGTCTGTTTTTCTTGTTAAGCCATTAAATATTTTACATGCCAAATACCAGAACATTTAACTGCATTTGTTTTTCTAGGGTAGTTCTTCAAATTAACACACAAGTAGCGAGTAAAAGTAAAAGGATTTCTTTGCTTTTTTGCATTAAAATCTTTAAGAAAACTGGATATATTCCCTTTAATCTACTTTATAGCTGTAAATGTTTTTGCATTTGTTGGTACGCGTCAGTTTTGCCGTGAATTAATTCCCTTTGGGTTTTAATTTTATTCTTTTTATATTCTAGTTTTTTTTTTCTTTTCTTGCATACACTTGCTGTTCTTTAGTTAAATGTCGCCATAAATTGTAAAAATTGTTTTAATTTTCTTGGTTGGTTTTAATTGTTAGGGAAACTAGTCAATCTTCTAAAGAATTCTTAAGCAATTAGAGGGTCTCTTCTGCATGACATGCGATTTTATGGTGTTAATCGAAAGGGGAGAACACGGCTCGTGTTCTCCAACACGAGCTAATTTAACTAGTTTTTTTGTGGAAAAATATTCCTAGACAAACAAATTTAACTGGATATCAAACAGATCAATTTCAAATTGTCCTATTAAAGTTGTGGTTTTAATACCAATAAAGGATACTAAATATTTTTAAAATTTGAAATTTGCAAATAGTCCTCTTTTAGCTGTATCATTTTTAATTAAATCCCTCCATCTGTATCTTTTTTTTTCTTCAGGTTTAACAACACAAAATCCTTTATCAAGGACATTTAAGTTACGCGTGCGCATCACTTCATTTCAATGCATATTTCATTTCATTGTCTGAGAGTGTGCAACTTTTAATGATTAAATGGCATTTCCACTTTTTTATGCAAATGCCAAATAAATTAAAATAATGATGTTTAAAATAAAAGAAGAGGTGGTGGTTTAAAAAATTTGCAGTCTGAATTTAGCACCCCTAAATAAAGGTAAGTGTAATCATTACAATTTATCGTTTAGAGAAATATACACTTGAGTTATTTATGCTGAAATTGTTAAGGATTTTTAATTTAGAAGGTATTGTTTAGATAATAGCTTAAATTTTTCAAATATCAACCCTACACTTATTTTAATATACAATTTAATAATACAATTGAAATAAAAAAGCAAAAAAAGGTATAAATACTAATAAAATGAATTAGGGAAGGAAATATAAATTTCAGCAATAAATTTAAAAAAAAACTTATTTTATGATTAGAATTTTAATTGTTTGATAAATAGAGATTTTATAAATTTTTTTAAAATTTAAAATTTATCGACATTTTTCTAAAAAATTAAAAATTTATAGAAGTTTTTCTAAGGAATTTCAAAAATTTCCTAAAATCTTCTTTAAAGAGAGAATTTGTCAAAATTTTCTATAAATTTATTTAAATTTTATCAACATTTTTTACATATTAAAAATCTATCAAATTTTTTTTTTCTGTAAATTTAAAAGTTAAACATTGAAAATGTATTTATATTTTTCTAAAAAATTAAAATTTATCGATAGTTTTCTAAAATTTAAAATTTTGCAAATTTTTTTTAAAAAATTAAGATTTATCAAAAATTAAAAAAAACAACAATTTCTATAAATTTAAATTATTTATATCTAAGTTTTTCTTACAAATTAAAATTTATCGATATTTTTTTTTTTAAATTGTTTATAAAGAGAATTATTTTTAATTTTTCTAGAATATTATTATATGTATTCAATTATTCGGGTTTTTGTCTTATTCGGTTTACTCGACAAGTAATTATTGGATGTTTATAATTTAGCCGGTTAATAATTGGATAATTTAAAATTATTCGGTTAATCAAATAAAAGGAAACTGGATATTATTCATTAATATTATTTCTTTTTATACCCTACAAAACCATAGTGGGGGGGGGTATTATACGTTTGTGCTGATGTTTGTCCTACACCCACCTTAAAGTACTTTCTGAGTCGATTGTCTGTCCGGCTGTCCATGTAAACCTTGTGCGCAAGGTACGGGTCGTCATTTTGATGAAATTTGGACCATACGTGTCCCGTATGGTCCCCGTACAACCCATACCCCCCGAAAAGGGCTTTTGAGTTTATAATTATGTTCAGTATTGTAGTATCTCTACAAAAATCGGCAAAACTTAGTTCTATATACGTCTTAATAATACTACCGATTTTCGTAATTATCGGACTTTATTTGACCCTAGCCCCCATACAAAGTCCCCTTCAGAAAATGACTTGAAGGTCAATAATTCACTAATATACACTAGTATCACGATGAAATCCAGCATACATAACTCTAATGTAAACGTAAAGCCATGTATCAAAATTTATAAGGGTAGACCCATATTTACCCTTGCCCCATATAACCTCTCGTTTAGAAAATCCCTTTTTTCAACAAATTGTTAAAATATTTCGGTATTAAGGCAAACTACTTAAATGCTTTGTTATTAAAAATAATCCACATTTTTAACATACTCAGTGGTGTAGCGTATCATATGGTTGGCCATGCCCGACTATACTTTCCTATCTCCAAGATTTCTTTTCAGTAATCTGGAATATTTATGTATGAACCCATTCTAGAAGTAGATAAATCATAATAAATTCTTACAATATTTCTGAAGTATTGTTATAAATATTCTTCATTATAGAAAAATAATTAAAGAATTAATAAAGGAAGAAAATTTATTATAAAAATATTGAATTTTCTTTAAAATATACTGAAATTTTACTGCTAAATAATAAGTTTTTCTTAATCGGTTAATTGATAAAAATTTATTCGGTTTATTCGTTATTTAAAATTTGGTAATTTTCATTTATTAATAGTCAAATATTGAACGATTAACCGATTGACAATTAATCGTTTGAATACCCTAACAATTTTTAACAAATTAAAAATCTATCAAATTTTTTCTATAAATTGAAAATTTTTAAATATTTTTAGTAATTGAAAATTTTCTAAAAAAATTAAATTATTTTTTTTTTAATTTAAGTTTTATCGAAATTTTTCTAAAAATGTATGGAAAAGTTTAAAAAATTTACAATCTATTTTACAAATTTTTTTATAAAATGGAAGTTCATCGAAAATTTTCTTTAAAAATAATAAATTTAAATAAAAATAAATAGTAAAAATTTACAATATATTTTACAATTTTTTTTATAAAATGGAAGTTCATCGAAAATTTTCTTAAAAAAAATAAATTTATTATTATTTTAAAATAAAAATAAATAGTAAATAAAAATTTCGATAAAATTTAAATTAAAAAAAAATTTTAATTATTTTTTTTAATTTAAATGTTATCGAAATTTTTCTAAAAATGTATGGAAAAGATTAAAAAATTTACAATATATTTTACAAATTTGTTTATAAAATGGAAGTTCATCGAAAATTTTCTTTAAAAATAATAAATTTATTATTATTTTAAAATAAAAATAAATAGTAAAACGAAACCTTGTTAAAAATTTTCAGCTAAACGAAATTTTATCGAAAATTTTCTCGTAAAAGAAAACTGAGATCAATTTTTAACGAAAATGTTCTATGTATGAAAAAAATGTATCGAAAATTGTTTATAAAAATTAAATTAATTAAAAATTTATCTATAAAAATGGAGAATTTATTCAAAATTTGTTATAAAACTAAAATTAATCGAAAATTATTTATGAAAACGAAATTTATCGTAAAATTTCGTTAAAAAATTATAAAAAAATGTTAATATGACATAAAATGACATATTAAAAAAAAATTAATTTTAAATTTTTTTAAAAAAAGAAAATCTAAACTGTCTATAATTTTTAGGTAAAGAAAATTTTGCAAAAAAAGTAAAAGTAAGTTTTATTTAAAATAAAAATAAAAAAGGAAAATTAATGAGAATGAATTTAAAAATATTTTTTTTTTAAATATTCTAATTTTTTCTATAATTTAATTTAAGGAAAATTAATTAAAAAAAATAAAATTTTACAAAGAATTGTCTGAAATGAAAATTTAACGAAAACATCAAAAATTTAATTACTTTATTTTCTTTAAAATTCAAAGTTTTGACAAAAAGAAAATTGATTGAAAATCTTTTTGAAAGATATTATTTTTAAAGAAATATTTTCAACTACAATGAAACAATTTCTTGCAGTGTATCATTGTGTAATATTGCTGTACAAAATTTCCCTTTTACTGACCCTGTTGCGCAAGGACAATAAAAAACTAAGGGACATTTTTCAACCCCCAATTTGCTAGCAACAGTATCGTTTAAAAAGTGACTTTATACATAGTTTAAAGAAAAAGGATCTTTTTCATCCCTTGATATAAACTTTCAGCCAGGACCTCTAGATGTCGCTCTTGTGAAAGGTTTCTGTCTTAACTAATGCTTGATTTTACCACATCCAAAAAGGAGGGCAGCACTGTATGAATGCTAGAAAAAAACATATGTATGCATGTCCTTCAATTTTATGACTTGCTTAGAACCAAAAGAAACCCTTAAAACAAACATTATGATAAGAAAATTGCTCTATTTTAAAAAACTTTTGTGAAAGGCACACAACACTACGTATGACATTTTTGAGTAATCTTATCAAAAGGGTCATAATTTGTAAAACCGACTTTGTTAAAAATAAAAATTCGTAGAAAACACAAAATTTTCTAACATTTAAAGAACGATCAACGAAAAAAAAGTTTATCAAAATGACGACAACAACTGTTTTTAGGGAAATAAAATAACGCACATGCCAATCGAGTGTTTTGGAACAATTAACGATCGATATAATTGTAATGACACATAAGATAAAAATACGTAAAAAACAAGGCATCAAGCTGCTTCAGAAGCATCTGCAAAATGATAAAAAAAAAGTAAAACAGAAATAATTGTTTGCAAGTATTTACTACAAGAAGTTGCAGCAATCTTTAGATAACAACAAATACAAGTGTTGAGGTATGTTAGCGGCAAGTTTTTATTAAAGATTATTTTCTGATGCCTGTCTGTCTATTTTTCTAAAGCGGCACAATTAAGGAAAAAAAAAAAATAAAATTATTATAATCATTATAAAGAATTTCATATAAAGGTATAATTTTTACCAGCACCTTAGTGTAGAAATTTCTAAAGAAATTATAAAGTACACATATTTGAAAATAATTTAACCTAGATTTATTTCCATTTGATTTCTTTCTTCACTTTTGGCGCATTTTTGATGCCTTTTTGGAACAAAAGCCAAAATAACAAACATCCTTTTTAAGGAAAGGATTTCTTTCAACTCTTTTCTTCTTTAAATATATAAAAGTATCTGTATCTTTAAATCTACTTGAAGAAACAATCCAAATTTTTATATAAAACCACAAATTTGTATCCAATCAAGTGTAAGTAATGTTTTCTTTTTCCCACACTTTGCAAGTACTCAAAAATCATCATTCAAACTAATTCAATCTTTCAAAAATTGTTGTTGAAAATGATCTCTTTGTGTTTTTTCTTTTTTTCGTAAAAGATGGAATTAAATGAAGCATAATCTTAAAAGATCCATTTTCATTAGTGTTCTAGTTTTGTTTCCCTTTCTTAAGGTTCATCGATTGATTTGTGTTTTTCTTATTTTGTGGTAAATTCCGTTAAATAAAAAAATTGGCACAGATTTTCAATTTTGGCATTTACCTCTTTAGTTTATTTAAGTTTGAAATCTTTTATGCACTCATCGATGATTATTGATCAACCCCTTTTATCATTGGAATCTTACAGAAATGTCCTTGAGGATTATTTGATTTGTTTGATTGATTGTACTTTGTTAAGAGTTTAGGTGGATAAATTTTTTCTACCTAAAATAATCAATTGTCGATTTTTACACAATTCAGAATTATTGACATACATATATATTGGTCTAAGTCTTTAGCATCATCGCTTCTCAGCAAACTCACGGTAATGACTTGTACATATCAGCATTATTTAGAAGGACTCTAGTAATATGTAAGTACGTATCTTAACATTTTTCTAACTT